GGGGAGAAAGAGAGAGAGAGATTAGGGAGGGGTAGGGGGATGTTTTTTTTTTGAGGGGGGTGGGGGGAGGTGTGGGGAGGGGGTGGTGGGAGAGAGAGAGAAAGAGATTAGGGGAGTTAGGGAAGGTTTTTTTTTTTTTTGGGGGGGGGGGTTGTGGGGGGGAGGTAGGGGGTGGTAAGGGTGATGGGGGTGGGGTGGTGAGGAAGTAGGGTGGGGAGGTGGGGGTCGGGTGATGGGATGGGGTGGGGAGGTAGGAGTGGAAAGGGTGGGTGGGTGTTTGGTTTTGACCAGATATCGGTTTGTGAATATACACTAAAATGTATAGTATATATTAGGTACATACGCATGTACGTCTGCAAACACACACACACACACACACACACAAACACAATACAAACACACACAAACAAAGAATCATCCATAAATACACACATTAAATCAACCAACAAAACCCAATAATAATAATAATAATAATAATAATAATAATAATAATAATAATAATAACAATAATGATAGTAATGATAATATAATGATGATGATAATAATGATAATAATAATAATAATAATAATAATAATAATAATAATAATAATAATAATATAACAACAACAACAACAGCAATAATGAAAAAAGGAAATCCGAAAAGCGATCATTCCCCCATAGACTCACTTCATCAGAAGTTTCGTCACTCATCAAAAACTCATCCTCACGTCCCCCTCTCACAGGCACTATTGCATCTTCTCGTTTATTCCATTGATGGGGTGAGATTTGCATACCCCCTCCTGCCTCCTCCTCCCCCCTCCCTTCCTATCCCCTTCCCCTCGTCCGGCCCTCTTCCCTTCCTCTCGGTCCCTCCCTCCTCTTCCCTCCCCTCCCTCTCGGTCCCTCCTTCCCCTTCCCTCCCTTCCCTCTCGGTCCCTCCCTCCTCTACCCTCCCTTCCCTCTCGGTCCCTCCCTCCTCTTCCCTCCCTTCTCTCGGTCCCTCCTTCCCCTTCCCTCCCTTCCCTCTCGGTTCTCCCTCCCTTCCCTCTCGGTCCCTCCCTCCCCTCCCTCTCGCTCCCTCCTTCCCCTTCCTTTGCCGGGTCACCTTTGCCTCTGCCTCACTTTCCCTCTCCTCCTCTCTTCTCTTTCTCTCCCTTATCTGTCTCCCTCCCTTATCCCTCCCTTTTTCCTTTCATTCCCTTTCATACCCTCCCCCTCTCGTCCCCTCCCTCCCTTGCCCCTCCTTCCCCTCCCTCCCTTTCCCCTCCCCTTCTCTTCCTCCTTTCCCCTCCCCCTCCCCTTCCCCCTCCCCTTCCCTTTCTCCTTTCTCCTTTCCCTTCCCCCTCCCTTCCCCCTCCTTCCCCTCCCTCCCTCTCCCCTTCTCCCCTCGTCCCTTTCCTTCCCCTCCCTCCCCTCCCCTTCCCTTTCTCCTTTCCCCTCCCCCTCCCCTTCCCTTCCTCCTTTCCCGTCCCCCTCCTCCCCCGCCTTCTGTCCGTATATATGACTAAATGTTCATTTCTTGTTTTATTCAGCTTCCTGTGGGGTGCGTCTGTCTCCAATAAATTTGAACAGGTTTCACTCCATCAGAGTTCAATGCATTTCTCTATTTTCCTTTTTTTTTCCTTTTTTTTTTCTTTTTTCTTTTTTGCTCTGATTTTTCTTTTGTTTCTTCTTGTGTTTATCTTCAACTTAATTTCTATGGTCTCTTCCTGTCTTTTGTGTGTTAAAGTTATATTAATTCTTTCACATTATACATGTGTGTGTGTGTGTGTGTGTGTGTGTGTGTGTGTGTGTGTGTGTGTGTGTGTGTGTGTGTGTGTGTGTGTATGTGTGTGTATGTGTGTGCGTATGTGCGTGCGTGTGTGTCTGTGTGTGTGCGCGTGCGTGCATGTTACTGGTACAGAGACTAGCGGTCTTCTTTTTACTATCAATATTAATTTCCTTTTATCCTTTTCTGGCTTTTCTCTTACTTTTCTATTTTGCAGTTCCTCCCTTTCCCCAGCCATTGAGGTTTCTATTCCCTTTATCACGCTATCACAATATCTATTCTCTCTTTTTTTTTTCATTGCAGTAATCTTTTGTCTCCTTCTCTCCCCCTTTCGTTCGCTCTATACTCCTTTATCATCCTCTGTACCATTTCTCCCCTTTATCTTCTCCTCTCGCCCTTCCCTATGTATTCTCAATCACCTCTATTGTTTTCTTTATTCCTATCCTCTTCTTCGGCTTTTTAAAAATCTTCTCTCTCTCTCTCTTTCTCTCTTTGCCTCTAGTTCTTCATTGCTATCTCTCTCGGTCCTCGATTCGCCTTTATATTTCAGTCACACGTTTTCTCTTTCTAACTTTTTTTTTTTTTTCTTTTTTCTTTTTTTCTTTTTTTTTTCTTTTTCTTCTGTTGCTTTCTCTCCCTCTTTCTTCTTGATCGCCGACGCTGAGAATGATTCTGCGATGACTCTTCTCTCTAAGTCATCATTTTATCGTCTATGTCTCTCCCTCTCTTTGCTCTCAGTCTTTTATTCCCTTTCTACGTTCGTCGTTCTTCTTCATTCGTGTTGTTTCTGTCTCTTCTTTCCTATTTTTTTTCTTTTTTCTGTCTGTCTGTCTCTGTCTCTGTCTCTCTATGTGTCTCTCCCTCCCTCTCTTCCTCTCTCTCTCTCTCTCTCTCTCTCTCTCTCTCTCTCTCTCTCTCTCTCTCTCTCTCTCTCTCTCTCTCTCTCTCTCTCTCTCTCTCTCTCCATTTTTTGTTTTGTTTTCCTTTTTCATTTTTGTTTGATCGATCCCCTTGTTTTCTGACATTGACAGTTCTTCCTATCCTTCCCCTCTTCCCATTCCTCCTCCTCCTCCTCCACCTTTTCTCCCTTTTGTTTCCAGTAACGATCCCCTGTTCTCTCTCTTCCTCTCTGTCTCTCTCTCTCTCTTCCTCTCTCTTTCTCTCTCCCTCCCTCTCTCCCTCCCTCCTCTATCTCTCTCTCTCTCTCTCTCTCTCTCTCTCTCTCTCTCTCTCTCTCTCTCTCTCTCTCTCTCTCTCTCTCTCTCTTCCTCTCTCTCTCTCTCTCTCTCTCTCTCTCTCTCCTCTCTCTTCTTCTCTCCCCTCTCTCCGTCCCTCCTTCCTCTCTCTCTCTCTCTCTCTCTCTCTCTCTCTCTCTCTCTCTCTCTCTCTCTCTCTCTCTCTCTCTCTCTCTCTCTCTCTCTCTCTCTCTCTCTCTCTCTCTCTATTTCTCCATTCTTTCCCCCTCCTCTTCCCCCTTCTCATCTTTATTTTCCTTTGCCTTCTCTGTTGTTGCCAAAAGAACCGTCTGATGTTTCCCTTTGCCAGCTGTGTCAGAAATCTTGCACTGTCTGTTTCTTTGTCTGTCTGTCTGTTTCTTTCTGTCTCTGTCTGTCTCTTTCTGTATCTTTCTCTGTCTGTCTGTCTGTCTGTTTCCTTCTGTATCTGTCTCTGTCTGTCTGTCTCTTTCTGTATATTTCTCTATTTGTCTGCCTTCCTTCCTCGGTCTCTGTCTTTCTGTTTGTCTTTATGTCTGTCTGTCTCTGTATATGTCTCTGTCTCTGTGTCTGTCTCTGTCTGTTTGTCTGTCTCTGTCTGTCTGTCTGTCTGTCTGTCTGTCTGTCTGTCTGTCTGTCTCTCTCTCTCTCTCTCTTTCTCTCTCTCTCTCTCTCTCTCTCTCTCTCTCTCTCTCTCTCTCTCTCTCTCTCTCTCTCTCTCTCTCTCTCTCTCGCTCTCATCTCTCAGTTTAGTGGCTCTTTTTAAGTCTCTATACCCATCTTTTCCTTTGTTTTCTCTTCGAATTCCCTCTTCTTTTCCTTCTCCTTCAGTTCCTCTTCTATCGATTCGTCATTATTCTGTCCTTTCTTGTCATATCCTTCTGATCTTACTATTTACGTCTTTCATTTTTCTTCGGACACTCTCTTTCTTATGTCTTATTCTCTCTCTATTTCTTATGTCTTATTCTCTCTCTATTTCTTATCCTCTTTCCTCCCTCCTCTTCCCCCTTCCCCTTTTCCTTATTCTCCCTTATGGAGGACGTCCCCCTCTTTTCCTCATGCTCTATTCACCCCCTTTTCCTTTAATCTTCATCTCTTATTCTCCTTTATTCTCCAATTATCCTTCTCCCGTTTCGTTCCGTCCGTTCTCTTCCCCTCTCTTCCTCTCCCTTTCGTTCCCTTTGCTCTCTCTATTCCCTTAACCCTCTTTCCTCAAATTCTCTCTTATTCTTCCTTTTCTCCTTAACTCCCCTCCCTCCCTCCCTCTCCTCTTACCCTTACTCTTACCCTTATCCTTATCCTTGCCCTTACAATTACTCTTGCTCTTGCCTTGCCCTTACCTTTACTCTTGCCCTTACCCATGCCCTTACCCTTGTCCTTACCCTTACCCTTATAATTGCCCTTGCCCTTCCCCTTACTCATACCCTTACCCTTACCCTTATAATACCCTTATACAGCTTACCTCCCCTTACCCTTACTCTTGCCCTTACCCTTACCCTTACCCTCGCCCTCACCCTTACCCTTACCCTTACTCTTGCCCTTACCCTTACCCTTACCCTCACCCTCACCCTTACCCTTCCCCTTCCCCTTCCCCTTCCCCTCACCCTTACCCTTACCTCAGGCGACGGACGTCCCCCTCGACTCTCGCATTCCAGAGACACCGTCATCCCCGCCGTCGTCTCAAGCACGGGAGGTCGTACTCGAGGAGCTTCGGGTGGGATGTACACCGTCAGCCTCGCCGTGTGGGATCGGATGCCTGGCACTCCCTCGCTGGCTGACACTTGGCACTGGTAGAGGGCGTCGTCTTCGAGGAGCACGGGCTTGATCCTCAGGCTGAAGTCTCCTGGTTTGGGAAGGAGGAGAGAAAAAGGGAGTCAGATTGTGTGGTTAGGTGGAGGAAGAGGTGGTGGAGGTGGTGGAGGTGGAGGTGGAGGTGGAGGTGGAGGTGGAGGTGGAGGTGGTGGTGGTGGTGGTGGTGGTGGTGGTGGTGGTGGTGGTGGTGGTGGTGGTGGTGGTGGTGGTGGTGGTGGTGGTCGTGGTGGTGGTGGTGGTGGAGGAGGAGGAGGAGGAGGAGGAGGAGGAGGAGGAGGAGGAGGAGGAAGAGGTGATGGAGGAGGAGGAGGAGGAAGAGGAGGAGGAGGAGGAGGAAGAGGGGAGGAGGGAAGGAGGGAAGGAGGGAAAGAGAGAATGAGAGAAGAGGAGAGAGAGAGAAAGAGAGAGAGAGAGAGAGAGAGAGAGAGAGAGAGAGAGAGAGAGAGAGAGAGAGAGAGAAAGAGAAAGAGAAAGAGAAAGAGAAAGGTAAAGAGAAAGAGAGAAAGAGAAAGAGAAAGAGAAAGAAAAAAGATAAAGATAAAGATAAAGATAAAGATAAAGATAAAGATAAAGAAAGAATAAAAAAAAACAGACACAAACAGACTGATAAATCGCCAGAAGAGCCTAACACAAAGATAACAAAAAAAGAGAAAGACACACAATGGAAAATAAGTCACAGAACTAATCAAAAAAACAAGATTAAAAACAAAACAAAAAAAACGCACATACTAACCTTCATCATCCGACCCTATCATGGCATAGCGAGAGAATCCGAACAGGTCCCGCTCAGTTCCTAAGCCGAAGCCGTCCTTTGTCCACTGAAGATGCCCGACCTTGTTAATTACCCTAAAGAGAGAGAGAGAATGAGAGAGAGAGTGAGAGTGAGAGAGAAATGGAGAGAGAGAGAGAGAGATGAAATTACGGTCTATGATAAGTTAAATTTTCAAGAGCTTTGATGGAATTACAGTGTTGCAAGATTAATGGTAGAGATAGGATTTATAAGAACTAAGCGACGTTATGATGTTATAAGTTTAAGATAGGATTTAAAAATACACTGACGAAATAATGATATTGATGGTATATTAAGTTTGAGATAAGATAATATTTACGAGAACAAGACAGAATTACATTATTCAAAGTTTAAGATAATATAAGATTCACAAGAACAAAATAATATTACCAGTTAAAGATAACATAGGATTCGACATTACTATATTGCAATATTAACGCAAGATAGGCTTTGCAAGAACTCCGACGAAATTATAAAGACAAAGAAATTACATTATCATAAGTTGAAAATTCAATAGGATTTTCAAGAACTTCGATAAAATTATAGTATCACAAGATAAAGATAAAAATAAAAAAAAAATCACACAAAAAAAAAACATCGACGATAAGATAAAAAAAAAAAAAAAACCGAACGGTAATCAGCCACATTACGAAAATTGATAGTGAGGTCAAGAATTTCGTTAAATGTTATCGGTCGGTTCGATGTGCCCAATGTGTGTCATTCTGAGGTCATTTCAGGTCATAAGGTCAAGGGAGAAAACGTTCAGTAAGAAATATATGGAGAAAGCTATGTAAGATTATGTAGGGAAATAGTGAGTTCATAGTTATGGAACGAGGGGCAAGGGGAAACGCGATAAAGATGGGATATGAGAGAGGGAGACGAGGATGTGGAATTTCAGACAATTGTAGGAGAAAAAGATTGAAAAAAGGTGGAGGAAGAGGAGCAAACAGGGAGACAGACAGACAGATAGATTGAAAGATATTTAGATAGACAGATAGAATGGCTGTTAGATGAAGATAGATAGGTAGACATAGGCAGATACATAGACAGACACACAGACAAACAGACAGATAGATTGATTGATAGACATAGATGAATATTCAAATATAAAGACAGACAGACAGACACACAGACATACAGACAGACACACAGACAGGCAAACAGACAGACGATCGGACATACATAGAGACAGACAGACAGATAGATAAATAGAAGAGAGACAGGGAAAGGAGAATTTAGAATTGCATACAGTGGTAAATAATATGTTTAGAGAGGAGGAAAAAATAAAGAGACGGAGGAAAAGATAATCAGACAGGTAGATCGATAGGAAATGAATGAATGGAGATATAGATTAAGGGAATTAGAGCAAATATAAGAGGAGAGACTGAAAAAGATGGGCGAGAGAGAGAGAGAGAGAGAGAGAGAGAGAGAGAGAGAGAGAGAGAGAGAGAGAGAGGAGAGAGAGAGAGAGAGAGAGAGAGGGAGAGAGGGAGAGAGGGAGAGAGAGGGAGAGAGAGAGAGGGTGAGAAGAGGAGAGAGAGAGAGAGAGAGAGAGAGAGAGAGAGAGAGAGAGAGAGAGAGAGAGAGAGAGAGAGAGAGAGAGAGAAAGAAAGAAAGAAAGAAAGGAAGAAGGAAAGAAAGAAAGAGGGGGGAGGAGGAGAAGAGAGAAGAGATGGGAAAGAGAAGAGAAAGAGAAGAGAAAATGAAAGAGATAAAGAAAGAGAAAGAGAAAGAGAAAAAAGAAAGAGAATGAGAGAGATTGACAGATTGAGGTTCTACCCAACTGAGAGACAATGAGACTCAAACAAAAGCTTCCCATTCATAGCTTGTGATAGCAATGATAAGCGCTTTTGGTTATCAATATGCATGGTCAGTGTAATTACGCGAGGAATGTCAAATCATGCATTAGCTTCCGTGTAATCTTTGTCATGCATGA